CAAAACAAGAAGCAAGAATGCCCTTCAGTGAGCATGTTAACATTCATTATCCCAACACATTTTAGCTGCCTGCACAAAAATATCCTTTCTCAATGCTTGCTTGTGATGGAAACTGTTCGTCGTGATTTGCAAGTGCAAGCTCTGGGCTTTCATCTTCTCTCTGCTCTCTCCTTGGCTCTGATTTCCCTCTCATTTTCTTGTGAGAACTGCTCTTTGGTGAAAGCAATCTCTCGCGTTCGCTTCTCTCTTTCATGCCCTCAGGTTGCTGAAAGGCAGGAGAAAAATACCAGGGAATTAGAAGTGACTCCCACACGAGCAACAAAATTTCATAGTTTTATCTCCATAATAACGTATACTAAAGTATTCTAGTCACCTACCTCTGCCAAAGATCAGCTTTAACATGATGGGCTTTAACATTCAAGACCCCAGCCAGTCACCCTAAAGCTCAGCAAGGGGCAGCTTCCTTTTGATTGTGCTATATGTGTGATAGGTGGCATCATCCTCCAGGAAGGCTTGAGAGGGAAGGGCAACAGGAGGGGAAGAAGGTCTGAAATTTCAGCCCAGGCTCCGTATTTCTGCCCTTTCACATAATCCATCTTCAAGTGCCTGAGGGCTGTTCAGTGCTGGCTGCAAAGACCTCCCTCTTTTTTTAACCTAGGCAGTAAAGGGTGGTTTGAACCCACAGAACTCTGAACATAACCAACACCTAATTTAGAGGTCCAACCCTCTCCCAAACTCCTTTTGGGATCTCTTTATGGGTGTGATTCAGTTCTGCGAGTTCTTGAAGTCCTTCACACCTCACAAGCTTCAGTGGCAATGGAGGCAATGACAGCAATTTGGTCTACTTGAAAGACAGATTAAAATACAGCCCAGGACATCCTCACTGAGGATCACAAAAGGGTGCCAGAATCCATGGTTTTACCTGGAACCAAAATCATACGTAGTACTTATCACTCAGTATACCTAGCATTACTTTTTAACACATTCATAGACTTTCTAACTACTGGAGAGGGATGGCAAATGAGGCAAGGCAAATGTCCAAATGGAATAAATTCTGAGTAGTTCCTGAAGGATAGAAAAGAAGATTAGAGAGCACACATAAAATTGGAACAATTGCCTAGTAAGACTTGTCAACACTGTGATTCTGTATATTCTTAGAGCATTAGGCATGCAAGGACTGCAGTTGTGGGACTGATCATGTAATGATGCTGCTGTTGGAAAAAGAGATTGTTTTCTGTCGTGTTGCTGCATGGAGGATTTGCAAAGAAAGCTGAAAATTGCTTCTCTGTACAAAACTGTCACAGTTTATAAACTGAAGAAAGAAGATACTTCCCTTTATGTTTGTTTGGTGCTAATAATGTTAGGTGCTATTCAAGCACAGCTTTTCCAACAGGGTAACTGAACTTGGCAGTGTTCTTCTGATGCTTAGAAAGGAGTCAGGGTTTATTACCCTTCCATCCATTTTATGATATACTGGGTCGACTGTATCATAATAATAAAAAATATTTTAAATTGTGACAGACAAAAGGTTGTTACCGGCTAATTCATCAAGCTAAACCGTACAGAAAATGCCCACGCTTCAGGACAGAACAACGAGAGGAAGAGGAGGATGTAATGGGCAGCAAATGCATTTCCAGTGAAAATGTGTTCAGCCACTTGCAGCAGCTACAAGACAGCAAAGAAGCAGATGGGCAAAGTCCCGAAGAGAAAAGGAGAAAAGGAGAAGCCCCTCAGCAGTCCTACTGATAACACTCTGTGGTTAAACCAGGCAGCAGCAGTGGGAAATAGAGTCTCACGGCAAAAGTGCAGAAACACTGGGTTCATATTGTCACATTTTATTGGCACAGCTGAAAAAACCTCTGAAAACAACTTACTGTCGTAGCCAGGGCAGTGTCTCATTTTGGAGATGCACATTTTGGAATAAGTATAGAGGGCAACACTACATCAAGAACACTCATTCCGATGATACAGCTATTTTAAGCATGTTTGCTCTGCTGTATAGACCACATGATTTAAGCAATTGTAATTCAGGTTTACTTCCTTTTGTTTTGTTTTTATCTTAAAGTTGCTATAGGTGGCTACCTACCAGGGAAACTGAACGTTTGCTCCTGAAATGCAGTTGCCTCTCAAAGGACTCTGCAAACTCCTGGATGGAATTGGATCTTGTCTCTGGGCACGAGCTGTCGGTGGAAGGTGTTCTGCTTGCCCTCTTGTGGCAGTGGCACTTGGCATCTTGGTCTTCTCGAAACCCCTTGCAGCCCTTGAGATGCCCTGAAGAAGAGACTTTGGTAGAGGCATGAAGTCTTGTTGTATGGAAGGAGGAAAGCTTGGCCTGCAACAGAAGAGATCTTTGCTGAGTGCTGAGTATAAAGTAGAGCATGCAGGGCAGATTCCCCCTGCTACGGAGCCTCTCTGAGCAGCAGTAAACAGAGTTGCTTAGTTTTGTGTGGTTCAATTTTCACAGGCCTGACACTTCAATAAAAGCTATTGATCTGCATCAGCTGGCTTTCATGCATCAGAATGTGTAAAAGTTTGCAGAGGAGATTAAGGTGATGCAGAACTGCTCTGCACTGCGGAGTCACGATGGCTTCAGAAGCAGCAAGAGATGAGCGAGAGGGTCCTCACATAGAGCCAGAGGTGCCCCAAGCTCTGCCAGCCTTTCGGATGCGAGCTCCCCTCAGTAAGCAGTATTACGACTGCCTCTGAGAGTAGTGGTAATGATTTCCCCGTTTATACTCTGAAGCGTACTGCTTCACAGCAATCAATCCGGCTGTGACTTCTGTAAGGTCATATTGTATTGTGGGGTAAAAAAGAAGCAGGAAGGCAATCACATCGTGCTTGAGGGGCAGGAGTACATATGCCCTGTCTAGCTGAACAAGCTAGATGTCTTTCATGTCCTTTTAATGGCATCGACGTACATTATTTCCTCAAAATTGAAGCTGTCTCGCACTAAAAATCACCAGTGTTTTTTCTTAGAAAGTCTGAACAGAAAAACAGGGCATTTGAAGCTAAGGAGGGTAGTCTATCAATTCTGTTTTGCAGTATCTGTAAATGGTTTATTTTACTAAGATATTGCTTTTTAATTTTGATTCACAGACAGCGTTGTAGTTAAGCGCTCAGCAAAGAGACTGTAGTTCACATACTGACATGGCACCAAAGATGAGGAACAATAAGGAAAGGAATTGGCTAAGGGTGAAGCTACACATACAAGTCTAGGTAATCACATTCCTGGGGCTGCTCATCTCTCACTGTATCTTTGCATGATTCATGTCACTGCAGGTACTTTCTGGCTGGTACTTTTGCTCCTGCTTGTCAGCATGTTGCTGCCTGATGCATGTCACCCCACAGAGAGCGGGAACCTTAACGCAACTGCTTGAGCATGAACATTTTGTGAGTTATTATTTGTGTTCTATCTTTTGTTTAAGACTCTGTGGAGAACTGAAAGTAACAAAATGAATACTGGAGCAGATCTGACACTGAGTCTAGATACAATCTGTGTGACTTTCTGTTTCTTGATTTTTATACATACAAATACTGGAGCAAATCTGACACTGACTCTAGATACAATCTGTGTGACTTTCTTTCTGTTTCTTGATTTTTATACATACATTTAATATGTATTAATGGCCATGAATGGATTGCTTAGTACAGTGTAAAAAAGTAACAGGCTGAGGGCTGTTTCCAGAAGCTCAGCAGCCGCTGCCAGCTGGAGATTCCCTCTGTACCTGCTCTGCTCCCTGCCCACTGCCTTCCCTGGCCAAAGGTCTCCGAGCACAGCTCCGATTTCGGGTGCTCTCCATGCCCCAGCGGCTGCCTCGGGCCTATGGCTGGTGCCTCTCCACAAGCTGCCGTCCTTCCTTCACTGCCTGCTGGGCTCTGCTTTCAGCAGCCTGTAAACTGGGAGACGAGTGGGAGGGAGGTACAACAGGGGAAAAGGAAAGGGAAAGGACAGATGATGGAGGCCCCCTGTGCAACAAGGGGTAACGAACCTCAGCCATCCTTAGTGTATCTGTTTACACAGGAGGTGGCAGATCGTTTCATAATTGCTTATCTCAATAAACAGTGCAAAAAGAGTACAAGCAGAAACCTCAAGAAATTAATATCAATGTAAATGACCTATTTTCCTCTTTTTCTGTTGGAGAAAATGACAATTACTTCCATCTTTTGGGTTTGCTCTCAGGGCTCACATAGCTTTCAGTGAGAAAATGAATCTTCAGTGGGTCAGTGTGAGCGTTCACTGCCTGTTGAAGTCTGCCCAGCGATCCCCATCCTTTAGGAATATTTTAGAACATTTGACACATTTAGAACATGTTACATTCTCTTCTAAACCCTTCTTTTCTTCCAACCTTATAGCCAAGTGTTATTCCTTAACAATGTTTTGGCCTGGGCTCCAACTGATACCGTGGCCGCTATTTAATTTTTAGATCAAACATCAGCAACTACAATAGCAGTGACTCCTCCTGCTCTCAGCCTTAGCTGTTTCTTACCAGATTTTCTGTTAAGTGGCGGTGTCTCTTTGAAGGTGGGTACATCTATAGGGCTGTAAAACTTGCGTGCTGCTCCTCTGCCTCCTGTGTTTTCACAGAACAGTGTTTAGGAGAGAAGAAACTGTCCTGAACTGGACTGAGCTTAACTAGAATGTGACAAGGAAAGTTATAGCTGGACCCCTCCAAAAGGGCCACTGTGAGAGCCTGCTGTATCCGAAGTTTGCGATGCGCAGTGAGTTGACTAAAGGAGTTGAAAATAGGTGGCTTGGTTCACCAAGGGCAGTTTTCACATTCAGTGTTGGTCCACAGCAACATATGCAACTCTGACATTTTTGCAGGGGGAGTGGAAGTGCAGGTTTTAGTCAAGAAGTCTGGACTAACGGGTTTAGCCTAGATCGGGAGCCAGGATTCCTGAGGCCAGTTACAGGCTTTGCCAATGGCCAGTAAGGAATGCATATTCCTCTCTGCAAAATGGAAATGACAATAGCAACTCAAAAGCATTTTGTGAAGCTCATCTTAGCAATATTTGTGAGGTATATCGAGTTCATAAAAAATACATTCTGTAATTTTTAATTTCTGCCAAGCACACGACAGAGGGAGCTCTTCTACAAAAGTTTTTCCCTATTTTGGGAGGCTCCGCAATGACCGGGTACGTTACTGTCATGCTTGGAGCGATAGCTTCAGTGCTACTGCAGCACAGGAAAAACTGCAGTGAGGAGCAGCGTGTCAATGCAGAGCTGAAAGCAGGTTACAGAGTTACGCAGTTAGCATAGTTAGCAAATTATTTAAAGAGTTTTTGGTATAAGAACAGACTTAAAATTAAAGTATAAGCGCACTCGCACATAAAAATGAAGATGTAAACAGAATGTGATCTGACATACATTCTCATGCTTCAGTTCGTATTGGGGGGCCTAAAGAAACCCCCTATGCATTATTCTCAGAAGGACAAAATTGAAATATAATAACATTAATACATTCAAAACATTAGTAAATGTTTACTAAATATGATTAAGTGTTTAATAAATGCTCTCTTTTCAAGTATTCTGATAGAATCCATTAGCAAAGCTTTAGCTCAGGGTCTGCCCTGAAATCTGTAAACATGGTAAAATATAACAATTAATTAAAAAATGCGGCTGATCAGATCAAGAGCAATGAATGAAGGCTGCCTTTCCAACCTGTCCTCAAATCCAAACAGGCATTGGATGGTTTGGGTCTATGTTTTCGTATTTGTTGAAACAGAGAAATCACATAGCTTAGAACATGGCATATCTAGTGGAGAAATAGTGAGATCTAGCACCGCAACACAGAAAACTATGTTTCTCTATAATATTTTTTGCTGTGTTGCAGTCATGATAATCTAAGGATATAAGTGAAAAGTAGTTTATAAGGAAACATGGCATCTTGTAAAAAGCAGTGGGAAACTAAAGACAGGTTTGGGAAATAAAAGCAATAATCTTCAAGCAAAGAGCAGCCTGGGAGCAACTGCTTTCAGTTCAACTTCATTCTGATACTTAGTTAGACGGTTGCCAGCAGTCTTGAAAAATAGCTTCTGCATGGAAAATCTGCCCTTTTTGTCCCAACTATTTTGTTCATCTATGAAAAAAAAAACCAAGAACTTCTTTCTCCCCGAAGACCTTCCCTTATAACAAGCTGTATCTTCCATCCATATTTTCAAAGTCAGGCGCTTAAAACTAGTAGGGACCCTGTTCTCTGCCTTAAAGGAGAAGTTACCCTTACAACCAGCTCAATTCCAGGGAGCAAAGTGGAGCCTCTTGGAAGAAGTAGCATTACAGAATTAGGTCCAAAGCCCATGGAGACAGAAGTCCTTATGTATGACACACGTGACTGAAGACAGTGCTTACGCCTGCCAGTTTTCTGACGTGTTTTGATCTCTGTCAGTTCTTGCTTGGCGGCGACAGCAACATCCTAGTCTGCAGCTGGCCCTTCTGCAGATAGGGCAGCTTTCCGCTCCCCTCTCCCCTTACCTTGGAGTCCGGCAGCTCCCTCCTATTCCAGTGGTGCCCGAGGCCCGAATCAAGCGCACGAGCAGCCGCCAGCAGCTCCTGCACGTCCCCGGCCGGGTGCAGCA